GCCGTCATTGACTGAGATGCTTGAGCGTTATCATGATCATTATTTAATTGATTGATTGAGATGCTTGAGAACACCCTAAGCCAATCTTCAACTCGGAAGATACTGTAACACTGTATTACATTCCCCCCGATACGATAATTTTTTTTTTTTTTTAAAAAAAAGAAGTAAGTTCATTTCATAGTCATTACCAATGGTGAATCCCTTTTCTACGTAGTGCTACTTTCACACAGTCACAAATAGGAAACTTATTATATGCGTACAGCGGTAAATAATGATTTTCAGTCAGGAAAACAAGTCTGTAAGGAGGTTACCAGAATTTGAATATTATCAAGGTTTGAAGGCAGATGGCAACCTTCTCTTTGGTTGTTCATTTACTCAACTTGGTTATGAACAAGACATCATTTGTGTCGTCCACGCTTTATCCATGTACAGGGTCTAGACCCATTGTTTCACAAAATACGTACGTGCGTACCTATGAAAGAACAAGTATTTTTCACAGAGGTAAAGACATGCAGCACGACAGCAATATGCCGATCTATTCGGAATACATAACTGTAAGATTACTAACAATTGTCGCGAAAAATATCGTCTTAATGTGAAATACAAAGAATCTGAAAAGTGGTAATTAATTATTAGAGTTAATAAAGTTTCATTTTCCTAAATGATTACCGAAACACGCACACCTGCGCATTATTCCAAGATAAAAGACCCAACCTTTTGAGCTAGATTATTATTTTATCATAAATCCATTGCTATATGAGTGCGCGTTATTTCAACGCGTTAAAGATCCGATTTTCGAAATAACGTCCATAATCGTTATTTGCAGTTTTACGGTATGTGCTTATAAAACAAAGGTTGAATATATATATATATTAATGATTAAATACAAAATTTGGTTTGTTTACTTAAAGTATACTATTGACAGCATATAGACATCAATCTAAGATAAAATCTCATAAGTACAGAAATTTAAATTAAAGGATCTTGTCTTTTCTCCTAACACTAAATACTTCACATTCTTCCATTTCAAAGCTTCCACTACCCCAAGTAATAGCCTTATCATAATCACAAACTTTACAAAAACAAGTTCCATCTCTGATTTGTAAGTCGGTCCTTCCAAAAGAAGGTCTAGATTTACTTAATTTAATAGCATTTTTTCCATAATATATATATTTGGAACTAAACATAAATGGAAAATAGCCAGACTTAGGCCTGCTAAAGTCAGCAAATCTTTCATCTCCACTCGGATCGCATAATGAAAATATAAATGATTCATGATCGTTTACAATCTTAGGGAAGTTTAATGGAGGTGATTGCCATGATTTTGAGGTGTAGCCACCAATTATTTGTGATGAAAGTTTTAATTTTATAATAATGAATGTCGGGTTTAAACAATTATCAACGTATCTGTGAAATACTTTAGCAGAAAATCCATCTCTACTCGCCCGATACAAAAGATGAAAACTATAAGGAATTGATGATGGTTTTTGAAATTTCAGGTTGGTTCTAACCTGTGAATTCACTGATGGTTTATGTTTTATCCAACTTGCTATCAAAGCTGCATGAGAAATATTAATGATATTTGAATCTATAAATGCTGTTCGTTTTGGTCGCGTCAAGCGAGGAAATAAACCGTTGTTATTCAATGTATCTTCGGAAGAACAGTAACGTGGTGAACGTTGTTGCTCTGGTGGAAGGAACCTTTGAAAAGGTAATACTGTACTACAAAAATCATCAGATGAAATATGTTCAAATCTTATTAAAGGAATAAAAGGATTTATAGTTTCGCCGAACAAACTAATCTCTTCCGATGTCCATGAAGATATTTTAGGTCCCAACAAAGGATTCTGCGCAATTCCCCAAGCAATCACATTTTGCCAAATTTCTAATTCATCCATTTGAACGTCTTCCTTTTTTAACAACCATATTAAAACATCCTTCTCCAAATATTTAACACCTCTCGGATTAAGTAATAATCGAGGTTGTTGACGTAATATTCCAAGTATATATTTTCGTAAAGAATCCAATGAAGGTATTTTAATTGTAGTTTTGTAAACAAGTGAAAAATTGTCACGAATCCAACCAGATTGGTTTTTAATTAAATAATCTTGGCCGGGACCAAGCAATTCTTTTATTCCTAATTCATCAAGGGCGATTAGTCGATCCAATGTGCTTTTTCCGTCATCTTGCTGACATCCAAAAGTCTTCCAACCATCTTTTATGTAACTATTTTTATTTGTAAAATTATAAATAAAAAGGTTAATAAAGGTCGAGAATTGGCAAAATTCTCAGAAATAAATATATAAGAATCAAGAATAATTACTCTAGTATGAAATAAAAAACTTCAGGAGAAATAGACGGTAAATTAATTTCCATCCATCCATCATTTTTTATTACCGATTTATCATTCAAAAGAGTACGAAAATATTCACATTGATCCTTTAAAACTTGTGAATTTTCTTTTATTGTTGTTGAATTTGGTGGTTTACCAACATGTATGAGTACGTCCAACTTTGGCTCTTGGATTTTAGGTAAATCCGGAGCAATTTCTTCAAGATTCATTTCGAATATTTGTAAACAAAATTCAGTTGGACACACATACCAGCTGAAAGATAAAAAGTTCTTTTTTACATCAAAAATGAATCAAAATGAAATTAACAAATCCGTTTATTTATATACTATTATTGGCGTAAACAGAAGCACGAATGGTAACAAGATAACCATTTTCGAGCTCTCAATTAGCCAATCATGTATCGTTATATAGTAGTGTAAAATATGCATATGTGCAAAACCTTGTGCACAAATGTTCATATATACATCTCAGGAAGTTTTTATAACAAGTCAACAATTGCTATTCAATTTATTCAATTCAAAATTTCTAATGATATGTTTCATGCACATGTGACTTTTTAAAATTCAATTTCCCTAGCGCTAAAGAACTTTCTAAATTTTTCACGTGACAAATTGTGTACAAGTTTTACGAACGTAATTTACCAAAAAATATAAATTAGATGAAAATCATTTCCAAAATTATTGGTACTAAAAATGGGTTTGGTTCAAAAAAAGAAACTTACCAATAAAGACATTTGTTATTCTTTTGATACGACCAGGGCGGCCATCGATTTTACGGGTCATGTGGGTAGCGCCACCTGCAGCAATTGTTGAAAACGAAACAGTATTGGATCTATGGTTCTATCGCTATGAAAATTTTGACCCTGCATATTGTACATTGGTGGCGCCACCCACATGACCCGTAAAATCGATGGCCGCCCTGGTATCTATTCTTTTAGCCAAGCACTAATGAACTTGGTAAAAAAAAAACAAAAAGAAAACTATTAAGAGTTGTATTTTATAAGATACACCTTTTTGCTGATATTTCCCAATTATGAAAACAGTCTGTAATACGAACCTAGATAAATGTCTGCGTATATCGATATATATACGTAATATGATGCGATTCTATATTTAGTGTATATTCCATATTTATTTGTAAGAACAAAGAATATGTTCGTCGTGCAGGATGTGTTCCCAGTGCGTACTTCTAAATTTGATACATAAAACTTAAAGGTTATGAACTAAAAAAAATTGCATAAACTATACGTAATGCTATATAAAAGACCTGGGTTTCTTACATTTCATCAATTTTTAAACTTATAATATACACCAGATACAGTACGTATATGGTTGAGAATTTACATAATTGAAAGGAAAATTTAAAAGCTTATAAATCCATGGCAGAACAGTGTCGCGAACCATGTACTCGTTGAGAAATTTTTACCCGGTTATTATTGGATTATCCGGTTATCCGGGTAATTTACTATAGCTAATAATAACAATTCCTACTCGGGTACAATCCCGAGAACCAGTAAACACTTGATTTCTTGGTGTAACTTGATAATCAATAACAATAATTATATATTAGTGGATAATAATATTTCGTATTACGTAAATGCACATTTTTTCATATTGATTACAGTGCGAGTTGGAGATTGGAGTTGAAGAGGTTAGGGATCGCATGGCTCGCCAAAAACCGCGGACACAAAATTCATGTGATTTATGGACGAGTTAGAGCTAACGTTGGGGCTAAAATGCCTTTCCCTATAGAGTTTTCACAGTTTTATAATTTGGTGTATTATCGTTATAATGATGAAATTTGAAATTTTATATTTTTGTACTATGTTAATAATGTTCTGATTTGAAAATGTAAACGCTACCAAAATCCACATACTCTATTATTATTATAAACTCTAGCCCTAAATATAGAAAACCTGACACGGTAGTTATACGCAGTGTTTAAACTTCAAATTTAATTTTATGTTTTCAAAAAAGTATTTTTGAATTCTTAATGTTCTCAATTTTTTTTGATATTCTCAATATTAGAAAGTTAAAAATTTTTTAATAAAAAAATTTTGTTAAATGTTCTCAAATAGAGAAAATTTTCCAACAATTTATGTTCATAAACATTTTTAAGTGTTCTTGGAAAACACTGAGAACATCGAATTTTAAATACTGGTTATACATAGGCAATGCTATTGGCATAGCAAAGTGTTTAAAATTCATTGTCATACCTATTGTAATGTAGATATAGATTCAAAAATAATAATTGGAAAATAATTTTCTAATAGTCTAAAAATTTGATATAGATCAATAATTTGAGTCATAGTTTAGTTATAACTCTAAACAGTATCTCAAACTATAGCTTTATTATCTTTGTTTTATTCTGTAAAACACTTTTATTTTTTTTTTTTTTGAAGTTAAGGTGAGGTTTTGCTCATATCTTTATTAATTTGTTGAAAAAGCCTCTTGGGGCTT